CATGCTTGGCCATAAATGTTAGTTTCTTAGTTCTCATGGAACGTGTGTCTTCCCTTGGCTCTGGAGGACCAAAGGTCTACCCCAAGGTGAGACTCAGCCCAGGTCTACTCTCTGGGGAGAGGAGGATGAAGAGTGAAGAGGAAGGCAGGAGCACTGTCTCCTGGAATGTTCTCTCCTGCTTCCTTCGAGCTGCTGCTCTCTGGTCGCTCACTGACCTCCCTGTCTCTGCCGTTGTAGGGCTTCCCTCGCTGTCCGCCTCTTTCCTGAGTCAGATAAGCTGGACGGGCCTCTGCGTTTGCATTCCTGCCTGCTGCGGAAATATCAGACTCAGAGCCAAGAGTGTACATTTTTAAGTTTTCGCTGTAAATAAAGGTTTTTGAGTGTGTGTGTTAATTTTGTTTTTTTAAATGTCTCCTCACCCCTTCACTTCAGTTTCCCCCCAGAGACCAGCAATGGACTGGCGTCAGGTGCTTGCACTGTGTAGTTGATGCTTCACACTTGCGAGCAGTTGTAGCAGTCCCCTCTTAGGCTCAAGGACACTGTTTAAGAAGGCAAAGGCCCAGAGTCTATATCACTGTTCATTCCAAAGGTGTTTCCACTGGTTTCAATTTGTTTAAGTCTGTAGCCAGTGGGGAGATGGTCACTAACTTGAGATGATCTGGGATGGGAGAAAACGTGGTACTTTTTTACCCCTTCTCAATTCTGGAGGTGAAACCCAGAACCTTCACACTGAGCTATCTGAACTATATCCTCAGAGCACACCCCATCCTCCCTGCCCCACCCCTCACCCCTACCCGCACCACCACCACCACCACCACCACCCCGCTTTATTTTTAATTTTGAGACAGGGTCTACCTAAATTACTATGCTGGACTGTAACATGTAATTCTCCTGCCTCAGCCTCCCAGAGTGCTAGAATTACAGGTCTGAGCCAGCACGCCCAGGTTAAATGTGTCTTGATCCTAATGAAGTAGGAATCATTTACTCAAAAATCTTTTTAATCTAGGGCCATTTTTAAACAATGGTGATCTTAAATTAACTTCTAGGCAGGTGCGGTGACAAATACCTATAATCCCAGCACTTGGGTGGCTGAGATAGGAAGACTACAAGTTTAAAAAGAAAAGTGTCGGGGCTGGGGATTAACTCAGTGGCACAGCGCCTGCCTGGCAAGTGCGAGGTCGTGAGTTCAATTCCCAGTACCGGGGAAAAAAAAAAAAAGAAAAAAGTGTCTCTAAAGTAAGTCTCAAAAAAAAAATTTAAAAATAAATAAAAAATTTTTAAAAATAAAGTAAAAGTCTTTCCAAAAGTCTTCCCCTTTTAGACCCCCAGGCTCCTCATCTGTAAAACAGGCATGTTAACATCTATTTACCTTATTGAAAGGGTCAAATAATAGATATGAAGGCAATGTACACAGTAATATATCTTGGAAAATTACTTTTGAAAGGAATTAGCCCATTATAAAAAGATGCCACTAAATATAAAGAGGGAAAGAATAAAGTTCTTGGTGACCCTTTCATGAGGTTTTTTTCGTTCTCCTCTTCCTACTTCTTTTTTTTTTTTTTGGTACCAGGAATTGAACTCAGGACCTTATGCTTGCCAGGCAGGCACTTGTGCTGCTGAGCTAGATCCCCGGCCCCTCCTCTTCCTACTTCTGTCTCATGGTCAGGGACGCCCCTTAACTTTTTTTTTTTTTTTTTTTTGAGACAAGGTCTCACTATGTCTTTCAGGCTAGCTTTAAACTTTGTGTTGCCCAGGCTGGCCTTAAACTCGTGTCAGTCCTCCTGCCTTGGCCTCCCCAAGTACTGGGATTACAGGCGTGTGCCACCATGCCCAGCTACCTCCTAACTTCTCCAGCAGCACAGGAGCACTGAATTCTGTGACCGTGGAACCAGATATAAGTGCCCTTTTCAGAATGGGGAGACAGGCCATGGTGAGATGTAGAAGGCCCAACATACGGGTATTTGTAACCCTATATTAACTGGTATCAGGGGACATAACAGAAAGAACTCTTCTACTGGAGGATACGTAGAATTGTGAAAGGATGGAAAGGGTGAACCCCTGTGATTCCAAGCTGACATCCTTGTCACAAGCTGTTCAGCCAAATCCAATTAGACTTGGGACTTGCAGTCCCTGCCAGTCGCTGCTCAACGCACTAGAGCTGCACAAATGAGTAAGATGTGGCCTGTGCCTGTGATAGGAGACAGGCAGAGTTAAAATTCAAGGTAGTAAAAATTCAAGGAATGTGTGCCTTTATGAGGCAGGAAATGGGATCTGCTAGGGGATAGTGGTGTTTTTGGCTTTTTGAATGTGTTTCAATGTATTGTCCAGGCTGGCTTTAAACTCATAGTCCTCCTGCCTCAGCCTCTTGAGTGTGGGTCTGGTGGGTTTTTTGTTTGGGTATTTTTTTTTTTTAAACAGCTGTGTCCTCAGCACCTAGTATCTAGTAGGTGCTCTATAAATGTGTTACATGAATGAGGGAATGATGGGTGTGTGTACAAGATGTGGGAACACAGTGGAGAGACAGGTGAGAAGAGATCCCAAAGCTTATTCTTGAAAGGGGCAGCATCTGAGGTAAGTATTGCCAGATTGTTTGGGCCATCAAACCTAGCTTTTATTCTAATCTTACCAAACTACTTTATTTGCATTTCCCAAGACCCTATCTCTTCTTGGCTCTAAAGCTTTTTATAAATGGTTGTTTGCCTGAAAAGCCAGCACTCAACCTTCCTGATTCCACTTTCAAAACACATTGTGCTTTTGAAGCTCTGGACTGTGTGGAGCATTGGGTGTTTAAATTTTTCTCTCCTTTAGAAGGCAGAAACTGACACAAACAATCCCATTCTCAGTCAATAGTAGACTCTAAATGAAGAGCCAGGCGGTGGCGCCCGCCTGTAATCCCAGTGCTCGGGAGGCTGAGGCAGAAGGATCGTTGCGAGTTCGAGGCCAGCCTGGGCTACAAAGTGAGTTCAAAGCCAGCCTGAAGTGTGTAGCAAAACCCTGTTTCCAAAAGACAAAAAAAAAGAATGAATGAGCCGGGTGGTGGTGGACCTGTAACTCCAACACTCCGGAGGCCCTGAGGCCTGGATAGGAGGATTATGAGTTCAAGGCCATCCTGGACTACATTCAAAAAACAAAACAAAGGAATGAATGAAAGTGGTGGATGTCCTCAGCAACATCAGGTGGCAGTCTCAATTTTGCGGTTTGAACCGTAGTGATAGTGATCTTATGATACTCGAGCTTGCCCAATAAACGAGTCAAAATGAAATCTGATTGACTGCCAATACAAAAAAGATACGAGGGGCTGGGGATTTAGCTCAGCGGCAAAAGCGCCTGCCTGGCAAGCGCAAGGTTGTGAGTTCGGTTCCCGGTACCAGAGAAAAACCAAAAAAAAAAAATGATCACTCGGTCTTAAGCTAA